TCCAAGGCCGGTCCAGGACAAAATTGACAGGGCCGATTTTTGTTCCCAGTCCGCCCCTGTCAACAGCTCTACGTGGAGGCATCCTAGAGCTGAGATGCCTCAACCAGACATGCTCCCTAATGGCATGTATCTAAATTCACTATACCATGGCATTTGAAAAGCATCTCCGAAAACGACTCAATAGCAAGTACTGCCTTCTGCACAGCTGCAGACTGAAACCAGAAATTCTTTTCTCCTACAACATAACACCAGTTCCCACTAGTTTTAAGCTCACAAAAAAAGATATACTCAATATTTTCTCTCTGCCTACTTCTGAGATGGTTTCTTTAGTCGCAGCCCACACAAAGGATTGAGTTCTGAATGAGGCCAACGTGGCCCAACTAGATCCCACAGGGCTTTCATTTTCACTGAACTTCTTACACCACCAAATGCTGTTTGATTCTAAACATAGCCGTGGTGGAGGAAAACTTTAAAAGTTGAGGCCATCCTCCTATTGTTTTATTAAGTTCATATATATATATATATATATATATATATTTATTAATTTTTTTGGTGGTTGATGTCTCCTGTGATTTGAGATAGAACGTTCTGTTACTTGTTGGGACGTTGAATTAAAATTTTGGTTAATTTCCAACTTGGCTCAGGCAGCCAGGAATAAACCTGCCAAACTGCTACTGAGAAAAAGCCTTCTGCATAAATAAGATGAAAAATTGGACCCTGAGACTGCCTTAAATCAAAAAGTACACAAGTAAAAGAAACAGTGTCGCAACACAGCACCAATGGTGTAACGTACTTAAAATAAGTGTAGTTCATTACTGTACTTAAGTATCTTTTGGGTAACTTTAAGTGAATATTAATTATACTAGCAACTTTCACTTGCTACTTGCTGCATTTATAAAGAAATTCTGTCCTTTTTACTCCAATACATTTCAATTGACAATGGTTGTTACTCATTACATTTTGCATGCCACCCTTAGTCTTAGGTAGTGTGAAGTGCATGTTTTTGAGAACTTAAGCACAATACAACTCTTGACTTTGAGACTCCGACGTCATAGCCAGACACAGTTACTTCAAAGTTTTTCTTTTGGTGGGTGACACTTAATTACTAGAGGATTTAAACTCTAGTATGTTTCAATACTTTTACTTCAACCGTACTTAAATGATGCACTCATTTTTTGTTTGCATTGTTCAGCTTCCGTTCTTCCTAAATGAATGCAAGTGAATGAGGAAGTGGCACTAATTATTCAGCCCCAAAATAGAAATGTAAAGTAAAATTGCAGGATGACAGACATGGAAACAAACTCTGTGGACATGATCTGAAATATGATTGAGTCACTTTCCCTTAAGCATTACTTTGTACAGTTTAAACTTGTGGTGACTTGTAACGTGTAACATTTTCCTAGTAAGGTATCTTTACTCATGTATGGTTTTCAGGTCCTCTAGTCTATATACCGCACTAATGGGAACGTCTGGTTGAATTCCCTGTGAGTTACCTGTGGTAACTCAATATAAAAATGTCCCTTTAGTGTTTTAATGTCATTCTAGCAGAGTGAACCTTCTGTGCAAGGCAGCACTGGGCTCAGCTGCCTTCAGGAAAATGGTGATGAACTATTTATGACACTTCCATTACCACATTTTTGCTGGAGTTTCCTTACCTTTATAAGGGACAAGCACATACTCTCCAACATGGCAGGGTAGGAAGTGCTTAACATCATGTTTTGGCATGTGTGTGTGTGTGTGTGTGTGTGTGTGTGTGTGTGTGTGTGTGTGTGTGTGTGTGTGTTTTTGTGTGCGTGCATGGCGTGTCTATGATTTCTTACACTTGGAAATTACCATGGGAATTATGCAAATCCACAGTTTGCTGCCCTATATTATCTAATTTAATATTGTTAAAAATTACACATCCATGTTAACTATTGGACCTGGCCCTTCTTTAAACTATGTACATGTCGAATTGTCTAGTTCAATAACCATGATATATAATGTATAATAACTGCTCCCCAGTATTTCATCTTTTAAACAGTTTAAAACAATAAATAAGTATTAAGTAGAGTGTAATAAAAAAAACATTCATTGTCCTGAGACAATTAATCCAGTAGTGTGTAATTAGGGCAGTTGGGATCCTTTGTCTGCCAGATAACTAACTATTATTGTGGATGATGAGACAGAGCACACTGTGGGAGCTAATCTGTCCTTAATGGTCTATCAGGACATCTTCTCTGTGTTAATGGTGCTACATTACCATAAGGTTGTAGGAGATACTAAACTAAAGTCATGAACATCAACAACAGAGGCCATCAGAGATAGAGAGAGAGAGAGAGAGAGAGAGAGAGAGAGAGAGAGAGAGGGGGGAAGGTGGTTTGACACGAGGACATCTCCCATGCAGGTATTTACATGAGCCAAGGTACGGCCATATTTATAGGTGGAGCGTAGCACAGGATATCTGTGATATTCAGGACAGGTTTCTGCTGAACAAGCCAGTATGTGGATGAACCCACCG